CGTGTGGCCCTGCGTGTGGTGCTCATGTGCCCACACGTGTGTGTGATGGATGCATGAGGCATGCCATGCATTCCCCAGGCGTGCTGTGCACCGCGCACTGAGGCTCGGGGCGGATGTGGCGACTGTCATGAGCTCATTAGGCGAATATTGGTTTCTAATCGGTGCCATAGCAATGGTGAGGCAGGCTCCTCACCACCACCTGAGCCCTCTGCCTCGTCCTGCAAACTCCGAGCCCATCTGCTGCTTCCTGCCATGGGCTGGAGATCACCCAGGTGATGCCAATGCCCATCCCTGGGCTTTGCCTGGCTCAGGGAACCAGCCCCCAAGGCTTGGGAGGGAGGCAAAGGGGGGACAAAACCTCTAGTTCTCAGTGGAAGGAGAAGATGGAAGCGGGAGGCTCCAGGAAGCAAACTGCAGGAGGGTTGGGGAGGGAGGTGTGTGTGTGGGATGGGGATGCAGGGATTTCAGAGCAGGGAGTTTAGTGAGGACAAACCAGAGCGGATTTCCTCAAGAGGAAATTCAGGATCAGAGGTAGAGACCAGTTCTAACCCACTAAAGGGATCCTTGTTTCGTGGTTAAATAGAGGATTAGTGTTTCAGAGCAATGCCCATGTATTCTGGGTACTGCTTTTTTTCTCTTTCCTCCCCAAACTTTACTACAGGTGAATTCTACAGCAGCTCCCAAGCAGGACCTTTGGGGTAGTTGTTGCTGCAGGTAGAGTCTGTCTGGGAGCATCCACCAGTACTCGCTTACCCCACACATGTGCCCACGGACCCCTGCATCATGCAGCTGTGTGCCCGCAAACGTGTGTTCATGCCAACACAGCACAGACATGCACACCCACAGCGCGGCTGTGGGGCTGCACATCCCTGGGAGCCACTGGGAAAGCTGTCAGTCCCATCCTGCTTCTCCTGCCTTTGCTGCTCCTCATCCCACCCCGGCGCAGGGACTTGCCTGCCTGTCTCTTCCTCTCCCCTTTCCACATTCACTCCCATCTCTCTATTCCTCCTTTATGAAATATGCACAGAGAACAGATGTCGCCTTCTCCCCGAGCACCCCCACCCTCCTCCCTCCCAGCCCACCACCTCCATCCACCCTCCAGGACCACATCCAACCTCCACCTCCCTCCTCTCCCGAGGGCTCCAACCTCCTGCACAGCCAATGGCATTCCCTCTCTTCACTTTAATATTTATGAGGGGGGGAGCACCGGAGCGGCCAATGAGGCAGCCAGGGTCGGACCCAGCATGTGAGGCTGGGGTGTATATATAGCCATGGGGCACATGCCTCCTTGGGGTGTCCATTTCAATGTGTGGTGGGCTGCTCATGCTCCTGCCCAAGGAGTAGCATGCCTGGGCCCCAAAGCTTCTTGGGGGGTTCTCCCTGACCCCCCAAGTCCATCCCAGGGAGCAGGACACATTGTGCACACAGGGGAACTTTCTGCCTCCTCAATGGATGGATGAGCCAAGGTTCCTCCCTCCCTGGATTACCTGAGCTTCATCCTAGAAGAGAAAAGCTGGAGCCTGGGAATGGTCATCAGCTTGGGGGTAAGGTCCTGGAATGGGTTTGTAGTGCTCTGGATGTTGCTGCGAGGTTTGGAGGTGCTTGAATGGGAGTGTGGTAGGTGGGGAGAGGGATGGTGAGATGAGCAGCGTGGTCCATGTGGGAAGATCCATAGGGAAGGGGGCTCAACTTTGACGTGAGGTTTAATACACAAACCCGCGGATGCATCCTTTGTTTTGGGCTTGGTGATGGCATGAGGGATTTCTGACCAGGAAAAAGAGAAGGAAGCTCAGGAAGGACCTGAAAGTGGGTCCCAGATACTCTTTGCATGCCCAGGGAGTCTTCAAACATCGTTACGGCTCTGGTCTGGAGTGCAGGGAACAGGGCAAGCAAGGATATGGGACATTTCAGTTCCCATCAGGCGTTTAAGTGTTACTGGGGTTTTGCTGGAGGCAGGGCTGGAGCAAATGTAGGTTTAAAAGAGCTTCTTGTGATAGATGAATTTAGGAAGGTGACAGTTTACAGTTCCTCTGAAGGAAAGAGGGATAAA